CTGTGCTACGGGAAAGCCGGCCCGTTACAGCGACTTGCAGCAGTCAGTTTTATAAGCAAGCGAGCGTGGAGTTAATTCCTTCTTCCGTGAGCTAACTTAGCCTTATTTTCACGATCCCTCTTAAGCAAACCCTAAGCACTCCTCGGGCACACAAAATGGAAGACAAACGGAAAGGCGGGATTCGTACCACGAGCGTAAAACGGAAGTTTTCAGTTGCACAGGCAAAATATTTCAGAAAAATCTGAGAAGCAATCAGCACAGCCACCACATTTGTTGAAAACATACTTAAATCACTCACCTTTGTGTACTTCCCTATACAATGATGACCTAATACTTAGCAAGGATTCTCAGCAAATCAAAGTAGTTATACCTCAGTAAAATCACAGTTTGAGAAAAACTGTAGTCCTGTAAGACTACAAGTTGTTGTAATTTACCAGGTGAACTGTATTTATTTTTATGAGAAAGACTTGCACGTAGGACAATCTGCAGCCACACTCAGACTCCTAAGTTTTCAAAAAAATGACTGCAGAACTTATTGCAGTTGATTTAAGTGATAACATTTGGGATCTGAAACCAGAAAACCAGTTAAGTATTTTCAGCAACTAAATAAAAAGTAGACAAAACATGGCAACTGATGACACACTACTGCACATAGAAGAACCGAGAGTGACACATGGGGAAAGGTCAACCTTTGTCCCATTAACACTGGTTCTGCATCTCACTCTTCCATTTGATTATTAATTTGAACTCTTAGCGATAAAAACTAGGAGGGGTTACAAAATCAGTCTTGGTTCACATTTGCTATAGACTCATCTAAGCATATTTCACAATACACACACTTCTCAAGCCATACTAGCTGGTCAATTTGGCCAATTAACATTATTTTAACTAAGGTGAGCATAATTAAGACAATGAAAAGGGCTTTGGAATCGAGATTTTTACACTCCGGGCAGCTCAAAGTGGTTCAATGGGAGCAAATTCTCTGCGGAGAAATACTGTCCCTGGAAGGGCTTTGAGCAAGAGCAGAGGTTGGTGTTGGCAAAGCAGCTTAAATTGCCCTTTTGTGCTTTTATACTGCAGCAGACAGGGTAGAAAGAGGGAGATCACCCATTTTCTTAGATTCCTGTTACACCTGGAAAAAACCCTGTGACTTAAGGATTGAGTTTCATCCTTAACTGAGTTTCCAGGCCTTTTATTTATTTATTTTTAATCAATTCAGGCTGTTCTTCCATTATATTACAATGACAAATAAAAAGCAGCTTGAATAAGAACAAAAAGAGTCTTACTTCTTAACTTTTCAATAATACATGAAATAAAATACAAATCAACTTCAAAGGCCACTTAGCAAATATTTGATGAGTTTGAGATATTAAAAATCTATTTGAATAAGTCTAATGGCCAGCCCAGCTAAAAAGAAAACAAGACCATTCAGAGCGAGCAGGAAATGAAGTCAACTAGAGTTTTAAAATAAATCTGGCTCAAAAATTAAGCAAATGTTAAAATAAAGCCATGTCTGGTTACACTAATTACATAAAAAGGAGTTAAAATTACTCATTTCCTAGCTCCTTCTGCCAAGATCATCATCTTCAAGGGAAATTCAATTTCTTTTTTTCTTCTCCCCTCTATTTTTTTCACTAAAAAACAAAAATGTTTTGTATAAAGACCCCCCCCGCCCTTGACAAGGCAGTTTCATTTAGTGCTGAATCCCAATGGACATTTCTTGACCAAAAAAACCCTATCAGCACGTCAAACAAAAACAGGCAAACACCCTTATCAGTGTTGACATTTCTCACTACGTTAGCCAATATTCATTATTTTCTTAAAATTTATTGGAGGTCCTCTGAAGTACAGTAGTATTTAATCCCTGAACAAAGTCTAGATCTTCTAGTTCAGGTTGTGTGGCAAATTCTCTGCTGGCCTACGTTTACTATTGCAAGAAAAACAGATACTAAATAAGTGTAGTTTGAAACGACTTGATTATTGAATACTGGGAGAAATTACACCTCCTACTGGGGGGGCATGACTGAAACACAGTCATCACTAATAAAGCACTCCGTTTCCACTACAGCCACACGTGCCAACCTCTGCTCTGTACGTATTTCAGGACTCCATCCTAAGTCATGCTGAGTTCCTGCAATTGCAAACGATGTCAAAGGGCACTCTTTGGGGACTGGGCAAGGCCACAACAGGATGCCTTCTGTTGGAGCCAATTAGTCTGATGTAACAAAATTCAGATTAATCCAAGAAATTCTTTTGCTGACTCACTTTTCAAGCCAAAACGGATCTGCAAGCTTGTTTCACCCAGTGAGGATGAAATATAAAAGCAAATCTTGTTTTCATTTTCCTAATCTGAGTTTATTTCTAACGGACAGCAAGCATCCTTCAATCAAGACTGCAGGTCAATCATTAGATGATGAATCACGTCTATATTACGTTGAAGTTATACACAACTACATTCAACTACAGCAGACCAAGGAACCTTTATTCATTCCAGAGAGACACTTTCCACTGTCACCTATTTTAATCAAAACTGAGTTGATAAAATATTTATCATAACCTAGTTTAAAAGGGAAACAGAGGTTTTTATGTACCTTTCGGCACATTTGACTGTATCTGCCTTAGCACTATCAGAAGGTTCCACGAGTCAGAGAACAACTTTGTCACTGCAATTTCAGTCACTCACTTTACCCCACATCATTGAGACTTGGGGAAAAAAAAGTTTTCTTTTGTACAACTACATTTCAGTCTACCCCCAGACACTGTAAAGCTTTCCCTTTAACAACATTCTTTAAATATTAAATATGAGACAGTATTTTTAAAAGTTTCTGAAGTATTTATGCATCACTTCCTTCGTTACTAAAAGTAACTGTGAACTTGTATAGAAACCTAAAGTTGTATATGCGTTTGGAAAGTACCCCGCTCCCCCAAAGGCCCCCAGACACAGGCAGCATATAGAAAGTAACCAGTTCTTTTTGATGTTTACTGCAGTGGTTCTGAAATTAATATAAATGGCTGTGTGACGTGCAAACGGGGCAGCCTGGAACTAATTCTGTTTTATAGAATACAAACCCTTCAGCAATTGGGGTACCTAATTATTTTGATGATAGGTGAAATTTTGCCTTGATCACACAGCACCCAGCTGTGAATCTGTTTTATAACAGAAAATTTCACAGCATGTAACTGGTCTTTAAAATTACGCTGTAAACATGCAAACACATGGCACCACTAAAATAAGCATGTTTCAAAAAGCTCTTTTTCCTTTAAGCATTTTTGAGCAGGCAGGAATGAAAAGGAAGAAAAAGGAAAGTGAGCAATGCCACAAATAGATTTCATTTACTGTACAATGCTTTTAACATATTTCTGATCTACAAAAAGCTCGACTACATTTCTTCAGAACAGTTAACATTTTAAAAGAAACTACAAGAGATGAATTGAATTATTTCACTCTTCTTGGGGATTAACCTAAAAGTTGTTTCCTCTTCATTGTTACTTACACTACAGCTGTGCTCAAACTCCTTTCATTTAGGAAAAAAAAAAGTTTAGATTTTGAGCCTGCGCACACTATGGTTCCACATTCCAACAGCTTCCTCCCAGTCCTCTGCCAGCATCTGCTATTGAAGACTAGTTCCAATTTACAATAAACAGCTTTTCCAGACCAGAACACTTGAAATTCAGTCCTTCTTGACTGCTTTTCCCATTCAATCTCCCTATTCACCATTTCAAGGAGAAAACTGTTCTGCCAATTATTACACATCTGGAAAAAATGCATGTATAAGCTGAAACACTCTCAGCAAAAAAGTTTCAGCTTTCTGCATATGGTCACAGCAGGATTTTATGGGCCACTGACCAGGCCAAAGTCTCAGTTTTCCCATCTTTCTCCTCCTCCTCCTCATTTCTGCCCACCCCCACCCCAAGTCTCTAATTGGAAACCCATAGCAGGTGCAAGTTGTCTGCCATTTTTCCTCCACAAGAATCAAGAGTAGTTTCTTCCTGATAAATACTAATCTTACAACTCAGTTTTAACTCACTAGGCTCTATGATAATTTACATGCATCCACTGTAATTGCTTTGCATAAATATACACACGTTTTAAAAAGATCATTACCATTGATGCTTGTCTGCTGGTTGTTACAAGGCTAGATGCTCCATAATTTGAGTTCAGGCTTCCAATTGGCCCATTGTGGGATGGTCCCAATAAACTATGGATATCTCCATGGCCACCTGATAGGCTTGTTGAAGGCCCCACTGCATGATTTCGTAGTACGTGAATGGCATCATCGAGTCTGTCCAAGCGATCCTCCATTCGAGACTGCTGTTGGGATTTAAGAGGGACGGTAACAGCCATTACTGAACGTATCTGCAGACTCATTACACCGTAACAGTTTCTACCTTGGCGATATTAAAGACAGAAGATGAAATGCAGTATCAAAAGACTTTGAAAGCACCTACCAGCACTACAAACAAACAGGAAAAAGAAAAGATATCTGGAGATTTTGCTTGAGATAGCATTCATTCCACAAATAGGTGGCAGCTTTTGAAGTGAAGCTTATTATAAGGTTAATGTTACTCTGCTTCTATTACATGGCATGAACAAGAAAAAAGGAAGTGCTACAAAATAAGCTATCTAATAGAAAGAACAATCATAAAAATCAGCCTCACCACATTGATAACAATTAAGAGAGGCAGTGGCTTTTTGAGAATCTGTATTACAAAAAGCTGGACAAAACTTTTAAGTTATCATTTTCTAAAATGGATCTTTAAACAGATTAAGTATTTCAGAAATAAAAACAAGCTCTGTATGTTACTGAAGAAAAGTCCGACTTAAAATTACTTTCCTTAAAAAAAAAAAAAAAAAAAAAGACCAAAAAAACCCCAAAGCAAAACCAGTTCTGACACTGCAGCTCTCTAGAAACTGAAATAGCAGAACGCTGGAGTCAAGAGATGGGTCATATGCTACACTAACTTAAGTTTTATAATGGGGAATCCAAAGGAAGAGCATTAATTGAAACACAAAAAGGCACCATCTAAAGTGAAATAGTACCTCACAGACATCCTTTAAGAAGGACATTGCATCTTGCAAATGCTCGTGAAGTTGCTGTTCAACTCGATTTTTCTGGCAAAGTCAAGACAGAACAGGAAGCAAAGCACAGGTTAAGATTAATTCAAAAAAGAGGTGAGGAAACAGCTGATGTGCATGTCAGCAATAAACTGTTAGTCAAGTTAATGCAACAGAGATCCGATCATATTAAGATAAGAAAAGGCTAATATTTAACACTGCAGTTATGTTAGGATCCTAAGATGTACATATCCATTATATTTAATTGCAAAAATGTTGAAGAAAAGAGAACTGATTTAGCTTACATTTATTCTTGTTAGACAGAAAAAAAGAAATTACTTCCGTGGAAACTAGAAATATTAACAGGTAATCAAAACCTTCCCTCGAATTTTTCCCCTCTCCTTCCTAATGCTGTACCAGAAATTTAAGAAAGTCGTCAGTAACTTAAATCCTCTGCTGAATCTTCAAAAGGAGAAAGTTTACAATGCTGTATATTATTTCCTGTGTGTTTTTCTGCAAAATGTTTCGTCAATTAATACATTAACATTCCCCAGTAACATATAATAATTACAAATAAAATATGTTAATACTTCAATGACAATGTAATGAAAACAAGCCCAGGAGACTACCATTTGAAAGAGGGGGAAGGACAAGTAAATGCGAAGGCATGAAGTCTTTATCTTTTCTCCAGACTGAACTTTAGATAAGAATTAGCTATGGATTTGTGAAAAGGTACCAGAATCTCTTAACAGCGCTTTAGCACCAGCTGTCCTCAGCACAGAAGCCTGATGCCCAAGGAACAGATGGTGAAAGACACACCCTGCACGTCTTATATTGTTCAACTGAACAGGCCATTTGTTAGCAAAGAATTCATTTGTAATGCTATCCTACTGTTTCCTTTAATGATATGCAGGATTTATACAAAACCAAGCCTTCAACTTGTAAGTAAAAAGTACTATGCTGCTTTCACCAATTCTTACCAAGGAGTGTAGAGAGTTTTCATAGTTTGGAGATGAGGGGGCTTGTCCTCCACTCCTAGACCACTGACTGGCACCTGTCAAAATTGTCTCGGTTAACGCACAGATTTAGGCAGCATAAGCGGGACGCAGGGATGCAATATTTCTCAACACAATTAAAACCAACATAGTCTGCATAACATAAAGGTAAGCTAACATATGGGTATACAAAGGAGGATGAATTCCTTCATTCTGCCTGAGGGATAATTTTTACATCCTGGCATCTATATCGTTAGATACATTATCAACGACAAAAGCAGTGACATCTTCGAAGTACTTCAACATAAAAAAGTGGACTAAACACACACACAGACTGTATCTGAAATACCTGCCTTCTGCCAGTGTCACCGTAAAAAGATTGCTGAATTCTTTCTTCTTCAGATTATGTTCAGTGTATGTAGGCATATCTTTAATAGTGTTAAAATATACAACAAAAATATTTAAAGAAATCAGACAATGAATCAAGGATAAGTGGAGAACCATGTCTATGACAACTCTCTACTAAGTAAGAAAACTTAAAACTAGATCTAAAAGATTTCTTTAGCTTGCCTAGTTCTACACTACACCATTTTAGATCATAATACATTCTAAGTTTAGAAGCGTAAAAATACACCTAAGTTATTCCCATTTGTTATTTCAGGTATATTTAAGGTAAACTGGCAGTTAAAGAACCATTGACTCTGCAACAAATCAACAGTTATATCCATATTACCTACACACTGCAAATTCAAATACATATCCATTCTAATCTGACATAAATATACCCAATTACCATGTAAAATTTAGAAATAATTAGAAGTGAAATGCAGTAACTAATAAAGCCGTACTTTTAAAACAAAGCCTGAAGTAGTACAACATGTATTTTTCTCACCAACTAATAATGCATCTTTTATAAAGATACTACATGAAATTCTATGTCCATGAGAGACAGCTTCCTTTCAGCCATACAAATGTAATAATAAAGCAATTACATTAATAAATTATGGACATACAATCCAAAGCAGCTCATTAAAGGAAGAGCCTGTGGGCTTGTTCTTTCAATAACAGCCAGAGCTGTACGTCTGGAAAACTGGGAAAAGGTTTAATAACATTACAGTTCCTTTGTTCAAGAGAGCTGCAAGTAGTTACCTTTTAAAGAAAGGGTTTTATTTAGCAAAAAGAGTACAGCTTGCATAGCTATTAAAATACCTAAGCATTGCCTTTCTAATTAAAAATAAATAAATAAACCATCTCCAATTTCATAAAAGCCCAGAGCTGCTATAACTGTGCTGGAATTCTCTTTTAAAATATAATGATATCAGTGAGTAAGTTTATAATTACCAATTTTCACTTCACACAGCTACTCTGGGTCTGGATCTGTAGTCTGCTTCTGCATTACTGTCATTCCTAAACCTGGAAATAATGCTTGGAGTCCCACTTATTTTTGCCAAGCATTAATGAAACAACTTTAGAATATTTTGGCTCAGTGTGATGTTCAAATTTCTATCTGGTCAAAACTCCATTTTTACGGACAAGACCATAGTCAAGGCTTTAATGAGTGCTCACTCCTAACAGGACCGAGTGTCTTACTTCCTACAAGAAAGCATCAGCTGAATATTAAGCAGAAAGGCAACCAGTTAAGAAAGCAGACTCAACCCCTATGCATCTAGTCTGATGAGTTTGGGGTTTTTTAATATGGACAAAGGTACTATTTCCTTGATGTAAACCCAGAACAAAGCTGCAAGCAGGACTTCTCACAAAGGCGACGAAAAGGGAGGAGGGAATACTCAACTCCTCTCAAAAGAACAACCCAACTGCAACCTGCAGTTTTTAATCGCACCTCTAGTAATGCTAGTGCTCTTCTGAGCGGCGGCACACTGTCCCCACGGCTGCGCAGGTTGCCAGATGGCACCCGTTTCCTGCTGCCTCACCCCACTCCCCCTCCTACAAGTTTGTGCATGAAATCCACCCATTATGTTAAAAAGCATCCTGGCACCACAAGCCCTGCCATTAACAACTGCAGCTTTTAGTGCAGCACCAACATAGCAGCATGAAAAAACAAATAAGCCAGGCAAGTGTTAGGACTTACAGGGGTCACCGACAGTCATGGCTGTAGCATTGTTCTTACTCTGGGAGCCTCCCCCGCGCTAATCCGCCGGCTCCCCTTTCAAACACACACTCGCATCAGAGTCGGCAGAGGCGGGTTTTGCATCCTCAGAACCGACCAAACGCTCCTGAATACCTCTGACCCTGGGAGGAGGATTCTTAAAATACCAAGGCTCCCAACCACTCAGATCCGTATATAAACTTCACATACACAATCATTAAAACCGTACAGGAAGCTAAGCTCTGGGCATGTTTATGTAAAATTAGAAATTAAATGAGGGCAGGGAAGAGGAGACACACTATTGTCTCATAATACTCGGGGGTTTTCATAATGTTGTTCTCAAAGCTTTTACTTTAATTAACAAAAAAATGTCCTTAGTCCTTATTCAGCAACGTAACAGCCAAATAGTCAAACATAGGCTTGTATACTTAAGTGTCTCATGAAGTTAGTATCTCTCAATGTTTTAAATGGCAAACATAGTGCTCCTAGTGTAATTTACAATTAAATGATAGGTAAACTATGATGTAGTCAAATCTATAATAAGAAGAATGCCAAATAAACAAAGAACTAACTGCAAAAGAGGAAAATCTCGGTGAAGGCTAAAATGCTCCAAAATATGTTCTTTTCGTGTACATAAAACATTTGGTTTAGCTGCAATAACTTTTTGGGTCAGGACAGAAAATGGCTACCACGAGTATAAATAGCAATAAATATAGTAGTAATTACTTTACATCGTGCTTCACTGTGTTCTTAGTGACTCACCTGGGAATAAAGATAAAAGTCCAGATTCATAAATGAAGGTAATTAACTACTGAAGCAATTTACCAAAGCCTTGATAAATTCTGTATCACTGGAATTAAAGGGCGTGGGAGGGTATAATCATAAAGCAGATGCTAAGTTTGCGCATGAGGATTTCAGTATTATTTGCTTCTATCTACTACTGTGTTAGCCATCAGAGTAAGGGACACAAACCCAAGTGCAAGTTTTGGAGAGTTTTACATTTGATACAGGTTCTAACAGAAAAGGCATTAACGGCAAAAGAAAAACCTCAGATTTTAGAGATGACAGATTTGTATTCTACAACCAGAAATTTGCTAGCACTTTCATGCTTACAGGATCAGGTGTGGTATCTAATCAGGGAACTCCACTTGGAATCTTTAAAATTCTAAATGCTTTGAAATGTCAGAACTTCTTTCTTCCAGCCACAGAGCTCTTTTCAATATTTGCATTGATGTTAAAACAAAAAAAATAATAATCATTTTCTGGTCTCATCTGCCTTTTCAGTACAACAAGAATACACAAAACATTGTCAACTATATTCACTAAATCAGAAATCCCATTAATCCCATCATTACTCAATTCAACATGCGTTTTTCAGGTACAGAAACAAAATGCCCAAAGCAGCTGCTCAGGTATGCCATGTCAGATATTCATTAATCCATTAAGACCACAGGAAACCAGAACAGTGGCCATTAAACATGAGTGAAGTCTGAATGACAAAAAGTTTTCTGAGTGACATTACATACATAGACTTGCATACTCACATACATATGTGTATGACCGCATTTTGCATGTAATTACTAACCTATTCATCTAGATTACAAAAGCATTCAGCTAAGCATGTTCTGTACACCTTTCACTGTAAGTTAATTATGTTTTTTTATAAAAACCAAAACACTCTTGCAAGAAGGTGACCAACAGCCAGGAGTCTGCAGGGATATATTAAACAACAGAGAATGGGAAAACAGACTGTTGCGTAAACGGTAAATAATTTAAAAAATTGCGCTATAGGAAAGAACAGGGTTAAAGTTACATCATCTTGCTTGTAATTCTAGTTCTTTGTTAAACAACAAATTTAAGTCAATGGAGCTTTCACAGTCCTCTCTATATGGAGAACAGCTGTTCAACTTTTACTAGACAGCTGAGGCCACAGTGTCTGTGAAAGCTGCACTACCCGCTAATAGCTGTAGGCAGCTGCCCACAGTTCATCTCCACACTGGAATGCTTCTTCCCACATTCACTACAAACACACAAAGCACAGGTGACAGAGGTGGCTGCAATACAGAGCATTTATTTTGAAAAATGCCAGAAATTCTTCTCCCATAGAATGAAAGCATTCATGAAAGATATGAATGAAAAGCTATCCTGTGTAAAAATTGGATAGTCTCATAGCCTACTATATTTTCATTAGGGGGAGCATACATCTGCTGTGTTTGTCACTGAAAGCTGTCACAGAGTTTTAACGTACAGCTTTAAGAACAAACCCCTACCAAATCACTCTTATTTCTCCCTAATGATACAGATATCTTTATAGCTGTGATAGTATGTGGTCATTCAATGTTTTCAAAGATTATTTAAATAAGCTAATTTTCAAAGCCAGTTGCCAGGATTTAAGTGAATGATCATCGCAAAACATTTAAGAAACTGTATTTAGAAATCTGGGTTTAGTACAGTGGAAAAATAAACAAAATATAGAAGTGATTATGTAAGGAAGCTACTGCTGATTTCACTGTGATTCCAAACAGCATGTTTTCAAAACAACAAACAAGTTATTGATAAATGGCTAGTCTCTACCTGTAAGAGGCGATGGTGATCCAACTGGTGTTGATGGATTTGATGGAAAACTACTGCTGGTATGATCAGGAGAATAAATCTAACAACAGATGAAAGAGGTTGTATATCAATACATGTCATAATACACAGTAAAAAAAAAAAGCTATTAGGATTCCGTTTCATGTTTTTAATTGTCACTCTTTATGCTGGATTGGTAAAAAACAATTTGAGCCTTCAATCACAGCTCTGCTTTATTACACTCAACACACTAAAAATGACCAGAAAACTTTCATTTTCAAGCAGCTGTCGAAAGTAAGCACAGCCTGTATTTGACAGCAACACAAGTATAACTGATCTTCCTTCTACTTTAACAGCAGCAACAATTACAGCCTTTTTATCATGGAAGGGGAATCATATACATAAGAGGTAACAGTACATACGTAATTATAACAAACAAAACTTCAAGAAAATGAAGAGGAATACTGACTTCTCAAACTTTAGACAGCAAAAAAGATTTCAGCAGTCAACACGTTATCTTCTCAGAATTAATCCTTCACAAGAGAAAATACCAAGCAAGCATTCTGCTCTAGCAACTACTGGTACCTACCAAACAAAAAACATTTGAAATTTTGTTGCTCTTGCTACATGTTGCAGCACATAGCAATTTTTATTATTTCTAGATCAACTGCTCCCTTAAGATACTAGACCTCGACTTGCAACAATTCATTCCTTGCTATTAATGTATTTAAAAAGTTTTGAGAAAAAGAGAAGACAAAGCCTAAAGCGTTAATTAAAATTTAAAAATTTCAAGATTCTTGGAAAATTCATTTTGAGAAGGGAACTGAATAGGTTTAGAGGCTGACTATGGACTTCAGAACGTATTTTTATAGGTCATCAGTTCAAACCTGTTTTACTTGAGCAGAGACCAGGATTTTTAAGTCATCAGATGGCAGTTAAAAATCTGCACTGGCAGTATGGTTGATGTCTCTTCACACAGACAATACGACATTTCAGCATTTACATATTGTATTTTTTGAACTGACAAAACCAGGACCCTATAGACCACATGCTCCTCCCTGGTCTATCATACTTTTTCGTTAGAAAAGACCATCGGTTCCCTAATGGAAATACCACCTCCTTTTCATATATGCTAGAAAGAAAATATATTTAAAAGAACAAACTACCTCAGACCTTTGTAGGAAATTCATGCATTGTACATCAGTATAAAAAATCTTGGGTGTCAGCTTGGGAACTGTAGAGAGTTCCAGACAGATAAGGTACAGAAAATTAAAATTATGTCAGACCAAAGGCCATGAAGTTTCTTTTGAAACTGGTTGTTTCTCACCGCTCTACCTGCCAATTTTATTTTGCTATATTTTCTAAGAGGGAAAACCTACATTATACCAAAGCCACAACTAAAACATGAGGTCAGAATTCATTTTGCATGCAGTCCCTGGCCGCTGTGCTGTTAAATGACCAATGATGAACAACCCTGACACCTTCTGCCAGGCTTAAATGGTAACATGAGTCATTTTACTGCAACAAATGAGACTCCTCCTCCTATCAGTCATGGTCCATTCCAATCAGCGGGGTGCCAATATGCCAGGGTCTAATGAAAAGGCTCTTAGACAAAAGCTGCACAATTGAGAGCCTGCAGAGCCAAACCTCAGAGCTGTTAGTCCAATTTTTTAAACACTACAGTGTACATTTCAGTTAGGCTTTGTTATGTTAATGTTATTGAGTCTAAAGCAACAAAGAAACTTAATTCATGAATTACTTTTAGAAGTCAACTTCCCTGCATTTTCTTTTCTTTTGTGAGGGGACCAGTGGCTATTTAACCACCGAGACTGTACAAAGGCCTTTACCCTGGTTCTGAGGTAGGAATCAAACACAAGTTATCACAAAGAGGCCTGATATAATCAACAAAGTTAAACAGTCCTCCTGTTTGATCTCCTCTAAATTAAAGACCAAGTGTTTTGATTTGGCATTAGGCAATGAAATAAACCAGATGTTTCTCCTGCCACATAACCCTCCATGGGCACAATCTTAAAGGGTTATTGTTTGGCAAATGTTCAGGGAAACACATTAGAAATGGCACGAATACCCAGATTTTCTTTTCTTTCTATCTATACTAGTTCATTATCCAAACTCATGCATAATCCACAGGGCTTTGGGAACTTTGTGTAAATACTTTCATGTACAATTCTCTTTCTTGCCTACCCTGAGATTAAGACCACAATTATCCAGGCTTAAACCTAAAATAAAAGAACCTTTGCAAATGTATTATCTGGCCTTACATGTTTAATCACATACTATTCTGTATGGTCTTTAATACCTAAACTGAAGAACAAATGTCGTATCCTCTGATGTTTCGCACATGAAAGGCCTATTGTGAGACGTACATCAACAGAATTTTAGAACTAGAAATTCCTCTCAACAGTTGCAGCGATAACATTTAAAATCCTAACAGAAACGCATATGCCGTCATCTTAGGGGGAAAAAAAAAAATCAAGACAATCAGTATTTAAATAAAACTTTGCTCAAACAGGAAAATATTCTTGGTTTACTAGCCATCAAAATTCACGTGCACTAGCTTCACCTGCAGGAGAGACCACCTCCCTCTGCGAGCGGTGCTCCTGGCCGAACAAGCGCAAGAAACGTGCTGGGTGCGCGTGTGTTGCAGGGCGCGGGGGAAGCAGATGGATGAGGCGAGGGATTTGAAGTGTGCAGACTATGGCATGCACTGATAGAGCAGATGGAATGCATCACCATCAGCTATGACAGAAATGATTTATGGAATGACCTGGCTGCTCCTGCCAAGCAACAACACGGGATGACAGAAACAAGTTTCTATGACAACCAGAGCCCACCCACCAGTTAGATTAAACATTTCTGCCCTGACTTCCACTCGCAATATATTTAGAGTTTTTCCTGAAAACATCAGCCTGGTCTTCTCAGCTAGTGACTTGGGCAAAAATACCTGAGAGGACAAGAAAATAATATAAAAAAGGAGAGCAGCTGAAAACGTCACGAAGCCCCGTAGGTCTAACTGGCCAGCGTGTCAGACTTATGACAGAAATTTTGGTCAGGCTGCAGAAAAGCAGACATCCTAATACATCTGCAGAGTAATGAACAGCCTTAAGTATGTAAGCATTGCTATTTGTAGGAGTCAAAATGATCCCAGTTCTTTTCTGACAGTCTCAGACAGACAGAAAGAGAGTGTTAACTGCCCTCTGGACTTGTGAATTGTTATCTACTTGCTGAATCCCCAAAAGCAACAGGGACAACATTTTTCTCCTCAAAGCCAGTAGGTCAGAGTTCTCCTACCCAAAATGGACATCACAGACATTATCAGATCTGGTAATCTTTTAACATACGACCCTCTGAGGGATGCAAGGGTAACAGGATCTGCACGAATACGCACATTTGCATTCACTGCTATGAGGTGAGGGATGCAGACTGCAACCCAGGAATGGTCTTTTGGGGCTGCAAAGGAGTCATTTCTATCTTTTAAATCAAACTGTCTCCCTATTTGCTACGTACAAGAAATACAAAGTGCTCCTCCAGCCACCACTCCTATCTCTGAAACTTCTGCTATACTGTACCAGTTACTGTTTTATAAAAAGTACATCTGATTGTGTTCATGCAAAAATAATTGCTGTATGTGTGCACATGTAAACACAGCTTTTAGTACACTGAAGATACTTGCAACTTTTTACATTATCTACGTTATTCCAGCAAGGGTTAAGAGTTTAAACTTTATGCATGTACAGCATTTTAAAGGCTGTTCCATAAATTATAGCTACACAACATTCAAAACCCTCTCTGTTTTATAAGGCCACTGAGAAAACATTTTAAGCCTTGAAGCAGGATCTGCTCTAATAGTAATGTCAAAAATACTTGACTTCAAGTAAAACACTAAAGGAAAGGAAAAAAAAAAACATCAAACCCTAAACTTCTTAGGATTATCTTTTACTTTGTCTAAACAACTTTCTAAATGGTATCTGCCCTAAATTTTTTCATCACCTAAAAAAAAAAAAAAAGGAAGTCAGAATAAGCCTTCTACAAATAAAAGCATCTTCCACTTTTTTATAGACATTTGCCTAATATATGAAATTGTATCTTCGTACATTATTTTAGCTTCATACATGGAAACTCCTGATTTGATATCATAAAATGAACAAACACATAAATAAAGGATGCAATGAGCTAAATGTGTCTTTCAGACCTGAATATTCTAACTGGTACTTACAGATGCCAGTGCCTTTCCAAGTGCATCACCTGTCTGTGAGCTTCCAGCACCATTTCCTCTGTTTCCTGTAATGTGGAAAGCAAACCCAACACTTACTTTTAAAGTTGAAATTTTATTGAGTTTTATTATTTTATTCATCACATACAGTTCAGCAACCACTTTTTAAACGGATATTCTGAGGAAGTCAGTGTCAACAGAATCAGTTCTCATTATACTTATAAATTTAATTAAAACAACTAGATTTAAATTTAGATGCTCTCCTTTTTCAAGTCAAACACAGTATCACCGTGATAACTTAAGGACCAACAAGTGAAAGAAGTTAGAAAAAAGACTGAAATTATTTTCTAGAATCACAGTTTAATTTTAATGAAACGTGAAAAGAAAACCAAAATTAAAAAATTATTATTATTGCAGCTTATTTCTAAACTGTTATCACTAAAGTGCTGCATGTTTCATTAATTCTTAAAGCCAAATTCACTGAATAATTGTGTGTCTTGTTGCTTCCCTCTGCTCTAATTCTCCACATTGTATTCTCATCTTTTATTTTAGAAAATAAAGGCCTACAAGAAAGATGGAGAGGGACTTTTTACAAGGGCATGTAGTGATAGGACATGGGGTAATGGCTTTAAACTGAAAGAGGGTAAAAGGAAGAAATTCTTCATTATGAGAGTGGTGAAGCACTGGCACAGGTTGCCCAGAGAAGTTGTGGAGGCCCCATCCCTGGAAGTGCTGAAGGCCAGGTTGGAGATGGGGCTTTGGGCAACCTGGTCTGGTGGAAGGTGTCTCTGCCCATGGCAGGGGGGTTGGAACTAGGCAAGATCTTTAAGGTCCCTTCCAGCCGAAACCATTCTATGATTTATGATAAAATCCCTGAAAAGCTCTTATCCTCCAAGCTTTTTGTCATCCCTGCTCTTAGTTGCACGTCAACAGCTTTGTGTGCCGTTTTGCTCCACACACCATCAAGCCAAGAGGAGGCCTGAAGCCCTGTCAACTGGAAACACAGAAAGGACCTGAATCCTCTGAAATATCTGCTTTACCCTTTAGAGGTGAATTTCCTTTCTCCAATTATCAACTTCTAATGCCAAAGAAATGTATTTAATGTGAATGTAAGCCATTCACATCAGAAATCCAAATCATGCAACGCTCGCTGTTTCAAGTTTGTGGCAAACTTGGATCTTCCAGCCTGAATTTCCCATGCTGATTCATTAACTGTGTTCTGTTTAAAGATCTGTCTGTAAAACGTGTTCCCAACTCAAAGCCAATATAGTCACCCTAACTAAATTCCGCTTACTTAAAATGAAGATAAGCACAAATAATTTCAAACTGAAAAGGGACAAGGGGCATCTACAGGGGGCATTTGATTTCTACAGCTGTATATTAAGACATGCAAATATGTGCAAGGAACAGATGATCAGCCTGTATTTCATGCTTTCTAGGTAAGCACGAAGAGACTAAACCAGCCACCATACTGGCTACTCAGTAATCCCTAAATCAGTTAAGAGAGGAATTTACGATGCAGTTTATCAAGTTCCCCACAGACAGTCTTCCTGCCTTTCTCCTGCACAGTACCTTGGTGATAGAGCAGCTCTGCAAACTGCAACACCAGAACCACCTATATGAACATGTATGTATACCAAACTATGGAAGGATAACTGCCATTAAGTTAGATGGATACAATCTCCTGAGCATAGGCTTGGCTGTGAAAGCAAATAAAACAGGAAGTCTTATAGCTGACTGCAAAAAAATTTGCCTCATCTCAGCCGTACCGAGGACAGAAATGCCACAGTGGTGCAGTATCCCTGATCTACAAGCATCCCATAAATTGAATGTTAGTAATTTTGTGTGTCATGCAGCCCTAAATTTCATTTTCTTGTAAAATATTAAAAAAAAAAAAAAAAAAGCAGCGCCAGGAAGAACTTTTTACCCAGAATATTATCTGATCCATTGACAGGTGGAGTGTGCGAGGCAGCTACATAAGGTGAACTGCTGGTACTGCCACGATGGAAGCTAGACATTGGAGGAAGACTGGCATTTATATCTGTAGGTGAGACTGAATGCGGGGGATAGCTCTAGAGAGAAAAAGAGAAACAGACATAAGACATTAAGTAGTCTTTAAATAAATGTTGATATTTTAGGATACCACATATACAACACCCAGCTCTTTATTAAAGAAAGGGACTCATCCATCCTCTGAACAGACCACTATAGAGCCACAGATTTTTATTTATACAACAGACATAAATAAAAGGACATAAATCTAATACAGTAAGTTTGTGATTTCTGACAACCGGGTTTTTAACTGATATACAAGAATTTATTTCTTGTTTGCTGCTCATGGAAGTCAGATCTCCATATACAAGTACAAGTACATTAATCTGTGCTGTGTATCTTACCAAACGGTCATGTGCGTGCAGGCTGCCGTAACTGCTGGACTGGGACATGTGGGAAGAGGAGCCTCCCAGCATCCCACCATAGCCAGGCTGGCTCATGCCATTGGATGAACTCCAGAGGTCAGAAGAATTGTGGGTCCCATCTTTTTTAGATTATTTTTTAATAAAAAAGAAAACAAGAAAAATACATTTAATGAAGAGTACGGAGTTCTACTTTCCTTTATAAATTTTTTTAAAAGAATACAGAATTCAGCTACTCAGACTAACATCAGCAGGGAAATGGTGACCAGTTTATGCTGCGTCTTCTATTTTCATGCCACCACACTGTTGCTATATTTATTAAAAAAAACCAAAAAACCAACAGAGGCTTTATAGCTGAAATACAATCCAACCACAGCTGAGAAAATACCAAGTACTCTGCTAATTACACAGACCTTCAGTAAGGCCAGATTTCTATCAAGAGGGTTGATAAAAACTCCAGACTGAAAGAAGTAATAAAAAAAGGGGGTAGAGGGGAGAGAAGTTTGGCTAAGCGACATAAATATTTAGTGCAAAACATCTATTAACCTAAAGTAAGCAATTCATAGTCTAAAATACTTTAGTACCATAAAAAAATATAAAAACATTTCATAATAGCAGATTTAAGTAACTGAAATTACTACATTACATAAGCCTTAAAGCCCTGCGTCAGTGCAGTTTTCCTTCTGTAGCACAAACTGAAGTGCTCTGTACATTCCCGTACTGAGAGACTCTACTTTTGATATGCTCCAAAACCTCATCAGACTACAGCACGAGCAAACTGTATGACGTGAGGCCCAGGAAATGAATTCTGCTCTCGTCTTGTCCCATGCAAACCCCCTTTTTTTTTTTGGCATGCTGCATATAAAAGCGTTTGAGAACTTAAGACTGTTAGCTGATATTGTACAGTCAAATTCCAGAACAGTCAAGAAGCCCTCACCTCATTTTTCTCTATCACTCCAGTGTGCTGCTCTGAAGCCCCCTACAAATCAAAGGATGGGGGATTCTGTCCATCTGGCCTGGCGTATAATCCCCTTAAATTTCGGTCAGCAATTAATGTCGTAAGAAAAACTTTAAATCAACAGACAGCTCTCTCCATCTAACTGTTCTAGAAGTACATAAAACTTAATCATGGGCTCTACCACAATACGTTACCTTTATGCTTCCTCATTGATTCAGTACAACAGTGGCTGACTGCAGATTTCTGCCTAAAGGACAAGTGACACCCGTATATTTAAAGTCATTTTACCCACCTTGCATAAAGAAAGTGCTAGCAAACATACTGCTTGGTGGCTTAGGAGACGGGTAACTCGGAGATTCTCTATTGAAATCATCAGAACTTGGGGATGGTGCATACACCTAAATATTGGAGAGCAAAAGCAGGTTAGTAATGTTTGGGTGTCATGCACTAAAAAAACCCCTAAGAGCTTACAGACACAGATAGAAAGCACAAATAAAAAAAAGAACAGTGTAGCAAGCTGCAGCATTTGTTGCCCTTGTTTTATTTGCTTTTTAGCAAGTTGCCACAGTACAGTGGAACTACAGTAGAATGATCCCAACAACACAGTTTCTGGTGTGCCAACTCAGCCAGGTGGCTTGATAAAAGCTTGAATGCTGATTTTGCTTTCTAAGTGCACAACTCGCACAGACTTGTTGCTCAAGATAAAAAAAGCAAGATAAAACAACTGGGCCCCAAACAAATTTTATTTTAAAACAACTGTATGCCTGTTTGAATATTTAATTAGCTGGCATCCCAACAATCAGAAAGAAAAAAAACATCCAGTGACAAATGGAAAGATTTTAATGCAACCATTGTATCATCACTCAGAAACCTGCACGCCTTTGTATAGTCATCAAAAATATATGCAATGCATGTCCTAAGGGATAATCTTAAAACTGCAACATCGAGCGAATTATTTTCACACTGGCCTAGCATTAAAGAAAACTAGCATCATTCTTTTTTCAGTGTAAGATCATATTGGAATGACCATTCTCAACATGCAAATGATGAGTGTTCTTAACAAGTTGTAAGATGCCAAATAAACCTAACGATCAGAAGATTTTCACTGCAGTGACTGTAAGACATATGAAGGATATTCAGGAATAAAAAACTCAAATTAACAAAGCCAGTATTCACAGACTCAAGGACTCTACCCATAACATTAGTTGTTCTAAGCAATGCTGTTGCTTCACAACAGTATTTTGGTCAATATACTGAATATTGCAGTATGGCCAGTGTATGTTAAAAGCAAAACGCATTAAAAAAAGGCAAATTAACAAATATGGCAGCAAAGAACATTAAACTGTAACATTGAAACCAGAGTATCTTTTTGCGACAAAGTAGAAAACAGGGTATTTTGATTTTTTAATCATTCACCTTACTTGTAAATACCTAAGGCTTCATAACGCATATATTCACAATAATTTTAAAACTTGAAAGCTTACAGAATGCAACTTGCAAAGCGCACTATGCCCTAAAATTGAAAAGCGAGCATTTTTATCCCTTCCTATGCAAATACGGGCACACGCATCTCTCCCTGCTCCTTCTGGGATGTTGTTTACCAAGCAAGAGGAGGGCCAGGGAAGCCAAGCCGGCCAACAAAACAGTGTAAGCTCCCTAAAAGAGAACCATTGTTCTCCCAGAGGGTGACTGCTCCGATACGGATATTTAGAAAGTGAAGTGGGCAAGTCCCGCTGATATTTGCATACCAACCCCCCTCCTCCCCGCTCCCCAGTGCTTTTCTGGCCTGCTGTTGTCAGACCAAATGGCCGGGCATGTGCCTGCAGACAGCACTCCCTTCTATTAGAGCGACTGATTTACCACTCGTTTTACACCAACAGAATTTCAATAAAATCTATCAAACTACAGCAGGAAGGAATCGGGACAAGGGCACAAGGAATGACGCCGCGGCACAGCTGTCCGTAAGAGCCCTGTAATGAGAACGGCAGCAGGTAAAAAGGCACCTGATAAAAAGAAGTGGAAAACTTCCGACTTCTAGTTGCATGCCTGTTTTAACTTTTTTTTTTTAATCAAAATACTGGGAGAAATTTTCAAGAAAGCAAGCCTTTCGAGGAGCTTTTGTTCAATATTTTACTTGCAGATTTTCAATTTATGGAATAAATTGAGTAAAAAAGGAAGATGCTTACCAAACCTGAGTGACAGAATGACATCACTTTATAAGCAATGTTAGCAGTACATATGCATTTACTATATATGATGAATGCATGTATATTCCATGCCTCAGACATATTTTAACAGAAATGTCACTCTGTCAAATTGTAAATACTCGCACTCGTAAGACTGCAAACATATTAGGCAAAACTAGGCTTAATTTACACGTTCTCTGTTGTGCAGAATAACGCAGCATATGCTATAGCTGATGGATAATCTATCACTGTCATGGGACAGCAGTGGAAACAAAGCTTTACGACATTCAGCACCGCCACGGAGATGTACACTGATTAATGCAAAATCACCTACAATGACGAATTATACATCTTTTTGAACTGTAACATCAATGACATTTGTAAATACAAGCTCCAGACTGAAATTTTAACATTTCACACAATTGAGTAATTTATAAAAACGGATTAAACACTATCTCAAAAGGGAAATTAAACTGAAACACTCCTAAAAATGTATCATTTACAGATACATGTGTACAAGCCATTAACATAATAAAAATGTTATGAATTATATTAACGTAAAAGAGGCCCTTCCAAACAGCTACATGAAAGTCCTAGCACAGACACATAACTTTATATAGTTTCTGCTTGTTTTGGTATCTTAACTATAGCTTGCAAAAACATAGCTGCGATGTTATGAAGCTGCACTTGTGCCAGTCTAGATTTTTCAGATCAAAGGGTTCTTGCGGCAAAACACAACTGATGTGGTCTCAAAGACTTCATTAACTCCAGATGTGGGGAAACAGCCAGCCAATTCCACAAAAGGAGCACGTCTCTTTTAGTTACAATCAGAGCTACCCACAAATTAAAACCAGGCCTCTGATGTCATCTGATCACCTGCAGATGAGCGCCAGGTTTTTTTCCTGGTTAATGACCTAATCATAATTTTTATGTTGTGTTACTACAAACAAAATTTAAAAGCAAGGGAGAAAATTTACTAAGATTAACCTGAAGTCCATGAGATGCAAAATACAAAGGTTTTCAATAAAAAAATTGATTAAAAAGAAAGATGACATTTTAAGTTGGGAAGCAAGGTATCAGGGCAACCAGTTTGATGACTCTTGAAAGCCCTGCATGCACTAGGACCCCCATGCAGCAAAACACACCCTCTGTGGCTGCTGGCCCGCAGGAGGCTTGCATGGCTGCGCAGCAGCTCCCCGCTCTGCGTCCTAGTTAAAGGGCTCTCTCTTCTGCGACAGCTGAGTAAGGCAGTTATAAATATGACGTGGCTGCTCAAGACAGCCTCTTTTAGCTATTAAACTGGTAACAGTGACATCCAGGAGGCATCAAACCAGTTTTTCCTGGCTGACATTCCCACTAAGACAAGGAATACTGTTAAAAGGTCAGCTGGTCTGCAGGGTCTCCTTGAAAAGGGCTGTCTCCAGCAGGTAGAAGAGGAGCCTATCTCCTAATCCCTTAAAACTCACTGCGCCCGAAGGCATCGGATGTGTTTCCACACCGACAAGTAAAACACTCTGATTATGAATGGGAAATTCCCTTCTGATAAACACATGCCAAAACCGGGTTTTTTACATGATTTACCAAGCAGAGGACTCGACTTTTTTGGAGCTGTGCTAGAACAGACATCAATCCTAACGCTGCAGCGCTTCTGAAGGGTAAACGGCCTCCGCAGAGGGAAGCGCGACAAACGAGTTGCAAAGGACATCAAGTCAGAGACCCACGTCAGTCTCTTCCGCACCCTGAACTGGTTTATGTTTCTCCAGTGGGAAAGGCAGGATGACAACTAAGATTTTTTTTGAGGGGCATCAGTGGGAGCTGACTTCAGAACAGAGCTAAGACGACGTTATCTGTACTACGTCAGGTTTAAGCAAAACAAACACATCATCCAGTTCTCCGATCTGCCCTGGTGATTAACATGTGTAATGAACACTATCATGAAAGCATCATGGACCTAACATATCTAAAACATATCAAAGGATTACACAGTGTGCTTCTGTTTACTAATACAACTGCCAATAACACGAACATTAATTTGAAGATCTGGGTTTACCAAGTTTTATGCCAAGTAAAACTTCCAAGTCTCATCCTATAAATGTATGTAATAAATATAACACTTAAGAGTCCTCCTGTTGGCATACTTCCTCTCAGGCACTTTTCCTGTAATCTGTTCCAAATTCTTAAATATTTATCAATGTTTAATATTAATGTTAAAAGCAGATTAAAAAACACTAATGAAGCAACCAAGCCTTACTCCCGATGAGCTCATGCTATCTCAAGACCAAGGCTCCCATCATGCATACTGTTTATGGAATTATGAATTATGTTACTCATTTAAGGCTAGTTATTAACAATTCTTGGAAGTTCAGGAAAATATTTATCAAGCTGTTGGAGACAGAATTTTCTGAAATCAGTAGAGATGGATAACCTATTCTGTAGCTGTAAACTCTGCTAAGTAGCCTATCTACATTCCATCAGCATCAGTCATGCTCTAAGCAAGTGCGCACTGATGAATGATTTGTACATGTGGCAAAATTTTACAGTGTATTATCTGCAGGTTTTGTGGCAAAAGCTAATTCTGCTGAAAGGCAGCTCTGGGAAAAGGAAACTTGTTTTCATGTTTATTATCTTTCTGACAAAATCATGTACTAAAACTTCAGGAATGTAGAATAGTAACTATAGTTTTCCATGCTCCCCTTTAAAGCATGAAAGAAGCTGCCAAAAAAACCCAAAACCCACCCCACAACCCCAGAACAAAAAACCCACCCTAAATTCTTGTTTAGTTGACATTTAAGCAAGATTATAAAATGAAGAGCCCTAGAACAAAAGATCAGTATACCATACCCTCAATCATGCTTTTTGTTTCCAATACCAGGTGTTAAAGTTTCATACATTTTTAAAACTCTTCTCACCACCCAGAATGAAAATAAAACACTCCTTTAAGAGGACAGAGCAACAGTTTTGTCTGCAAATCCAGCCATAATTAAGGATAGTATAAAATTCAGCTACTAGGAAGAAAATTAACACTATCCCAGCCGAAACCAGGACAATCCTTGAAGTAGCTAAACTGAATTCCATCTTAAATAAATGTTTATGTAGTTTAGGCATGCTATACATGCCTATTTGGATAATTGCAATTTGCAGAATCCCACTGCAATGATACATAGCACAAATACTTCCTAGCTTCTTCCCCAGTAAATGACAATTTTA